GAATCTATTCAGCCTCCACAAGAGAAGACTGAGAGGGGATCTGGTGGCCATCTATAAACTCACTGTGGGGACCAGCAGAAAATAGGTGAGGCTCTGTTCCCTTGGCCACCACCTGAGATAACAAGGAATAACAACCACGAATTGATTGAGAGCAGGTTCGGGCTTGATATCTGGAGGCATTACTTTACGGTTAGGGCTGCCAGGCTCTGGAATGGGCTCCTAAGGGAGGTGGTGCTCTCCCCTACCTTGGGGGTCTTCAAAAGGAGGTTGGATAGATATCTGGCTGGGGTATAATGATCCCAGCGCTTGTTCCTGCCCAGGGAGGGGGTCAAACTTGATGATCTGTTCAGGTCCCTTCCAACCCTAGAAACTATGAAACTGTGGAACAGGCAGGTAATAGGGAACACAACCCATTTACGGGGGAAAGGGTTAATATGAGCTGCACCCAGCAAACAACCTTCCCATCCTGTCTGCTTTGTGAATTGTATTCACAGCCCAGCCTAGTCCCATTTGTGCTGGGATGTCCCACAGGGTTCTCTGTGCAGAGACTCTATCACAGACACCTCTTGCCTTGCCTGCCATTCCTGATCAGGGCTGAAAGGAGTTATAATGCCTCTGCATCATTAACATCTTGGTCCTTATTCCTAGTACCCAGACTCTTCCAGGAGCACCAGACTCCTGTGGCAGAAAGGCGCAGAGACAAGAAGTAACAATCTGTGAGATTTATTGAGGAGTTATAACATAGCGTCCTCAGACACAGCTATGAAGCAAACAACCTGCTCCCAGAAGCACAGGCTGGCATCTCCTGTTTAGAGCAGACGAAATCCGCACAGGTGTCCCAGGCAGTAGTTCTGCCTCCTAAGCCCAGTGTGGGTGAAAATTTCTTACTGTGAGGCATCTATGTGCATATCACCCTACAAGGGCTCAACCCTTCCTCCTTCCTCCCCATAGCAGGCATAAAGGCAGATGCTTTTTGGAGAGAGACAGGGATTCTCTGTTTGCCTGCTGGTGACAAGCATGGTTTGACTGCCTTCCCCAATGGCAGGCTCTGTTATAGAGCAGGGAAGGATCCTACAGTAAATCAGGCACAGGGGCCCAAAACTGAGAAGTTGAAGTGGCAGAGGGAGCTCATAGCTGTTGTGCTTTCTTCTGCCCAGCAGGGGTCGCTGTGACACTAACCAAGGCAAATGCAAATCTTGTGGGCAAAGGGTGATTGTAGGGTGTGGGTTACACCCCTGCAGCAAGTCAGACACAGATTTGAGCATCTGTCTGCCTCCAAGGGGTGCTGGCACGAGCTTCAGACAGGATATTCCAAAATACAGGTTTTAAAGCAAAGGCAACAAGTTGAGGGTGAGACGTGGAGTCAGCATGATGCTGTCCCACAAGGGGCTGCCATAAACTATGGTACAAAAATAAAGATTTAAACTGGAAATTAAAAAGCTGGAGTTGAGCACTAGAATGACATCCTGAGGCCTCTGGCTTGTAACAGCTGGAAAATGAGAGAAAGAGCAAACCAACGACAGAGAAAATCAAGAATGAAAGGAAACGGGAGAATGGGAAGAGGAATAGAAAAAGGGAGAGAAGAAAGAACAGAAAAAAGAAAGATATGGAAAGGGAGGAAAGAGAGAGAGAGAGAGAGAGGAAGGAAAATCCACATGAGTAAAATACATTGACTCTTAAGAAACTCAAGTCTCACAGCTGAGGAAGAAGAGGCTCCTGAACAGAAGGCAGGAGAGAGCCTGGCAAATACCAGACAGACAATGAATGCCCTAATCATGAAGGGTGCAGGAAGAGGGATTCAGAAACCTCCCATGTGATACAAATCCTGTAAAATCCCTAACAAGAGAGAAGCAATGACTCTTCCCTTTGAGCTCCTTATGGCACCAGCCATCAGCACTGCACAGCCAACGCTTATGAGCTACAGAGCTCTGGAGCATATTTTACTCAGAGCCCAAAAAGTCAGCTGCTCAGTTGCTATGCTTATCCCCAGAACAGTCACCCTGTTGGAGCCTGAGGGGAGATGAGATGACCAGCCTAAGATTTCTTTCAGAGGCAAGTAGCAGTGAGACAGGAAAGATATAGAAATCCTCATGCAGAATATTCTGTCAGCTGTCAAGAAGAGGATTAACAGTAGCTTCTGGGAGAAAGACTTGTGGGATATGTGCATCTATCTGTCTGTCAGTGCCAGGCAGAAATGTGGCACTTCTCCCATTTACAACAGGATAAGTCTTGCCCTTGTTCCCACCCCTCTTAGTTTCTCACAGCTTTGCTCTGCCTTCTGCTGCCAGACCCTTTAGTCCAGAACTGTAAGGCCTGCTCAGAAATAAAGGCACAAACCAAGAAAATCAGGAAAGTTTCACATAAAGAAACAACTCTCCCCCCCCTC